AGCAAAAACCGAGATTGTAAAACATACTTGCGAAAAATGTATTCAACTGTTTATGGGGCGGACGAAAAGCTCTGTTGACTTTGGAGTGAAAAGTAAACCCAACAATTCGTACTAAAGAGCATTAATTTAATTAAGAATATATTGACTCTATAACCTCCATCTAACAATTTGGGTCTATCATGATGTTGATCAAAAAGTTGTAAAGGCATTTCGTATAGTCCCAATTGAGACGATATGCAATTTCCACTTGGTCAAAAGAGGGCGTTATCGGATATCCTGCTAGGCTGAAGCATGAAGGAAGGGCTTTCCTTTCATCGGCTTTTCTTTCGAATCACCTTACATCTGGATTACACGCGGAAAACAAGTACTTATTGAATTTGTTATCTGTAGAACATTCCTTCCTAACAAAAATAAAGTACCACCGATCCTTGACATCGAAGAGACATTTCTATAGCAGGAGTCTGTCTACTTGATTCAATCACAGACTTTTCTTCAGACCTTCCTGTCTTCTTTGGAAGCGGTATAGTATTACCTGATGGATTCTCGTCAGTAGGAAATTCCCCGTAACTATATTGAAGTCTCAGTCCTCTATGACAACAAAGAGGCATTGTTGTAGCAGGAGTCTATCTGCTTGATTCTATCACATACTTCAATTGATGTCTCTGTATCTTTATTCCATGGGGAATACTAATATTTAGTGAATTAGTAACCTATAGGTGATTCTTCCGTAATAAAACTGCAATCAATTTTCCTTTGTAACATTGAAGAAGCATTGCTGTAGTAGGAGTCTATCTACGTGACCCCATCACACTGCATATTCATTCCAAGCTCCCTCCTAATATCTGGTTTGTCATCTGCAGGAAAGTCTCAGCTCTCCATGACAAAAAGTGGGATTGTGGTAGCAGGAGTCTATCTACTTGACATAATCACAAATCTCATTGACCATTCCGTGGTTGCAGACGGATCACACTGAGTCAGTGATATTTGCCCGGAACCCTTCTAGGTGTAAATCCTCATTCCAAGCCGGATACGAGTACCTGGTGAATTTGTCATCTGTAGGAAATTCCTCCGTAATTAAATTGAAGTCCTACTTCTCTGTGACACCAAAGAGGCATTGCCACAGCAAGAGTTAATCCCCGAGGTGCCACCACCGCGTGTGGGAATTACCCCGCGAGAAATTACGTACCTCCTGCACAATATCGCCCTCTCATCCAGGTATTCCGTATCTCATCAACCTTGTTGTCTCTCTAATGACGTCTACAATCGTCACGAGTGACGACACGCCACATTCATGTCGATCTAAAGCCAATCGCACACTTTCGATCAGGATTTGGAAAATGGCGTGCAGAGAAATGTCAGCTATTCTTACAATGGCGTCTATCAATGTTGAGGAAACGCGCATGCTTCAGACTACTTGATTGATTGGTATAATTTCGTATGAAAGCACAGATACTAATAAAATAATGAAACTTGTTGATCTTGATAATCATAAATTGTGTTTATTTGGTTAACATTTTCGCAAATCCTGTCTATACGGAAAAATATCTGGAGGAGGTTCTTAAGATTGCCGATTATTGAACAGCAGACCTTTATAAAGTTTAAGCCTTACTCAGACCCTTTGTCTTGACTGCAGGGGTACCAGGGCACCAACAAACGCTTTTCTCAATCAAATGTACAGCAGCTGTCGCTAGCATCAATACGAGTAATATGGTTACCAAAAACGACTGCTTCTAGAATTTAGAATGAGAGGCTTTTATTTGGCCGCAGTAGATAGTTCTTAATTGGGGGATTACACAAAATATTTTATCCCAATAGGAGGACATCAGAGGCAATCTAGGGGGACCAGAGGTTATTATCCAAGAAGATCACGATGATTTCAACGTGGTCAGGGGATATCAAAGAAAATGTTCTTGCACACTGGAGAGAAGCCTGATGCATTCCAAGGGAATTTTCTATATAAGTGGCAGCAGATTCAAAACCATCCATGGAGATCAGAGATAGCGTAAAGGGATTCGTGATCAAGGAGATCCGAGATATATAGTACAATTACTAGCTACTAGCTACAGCATATGGATTATTGAGTTCCCCGAACTGTCTCCTGCATTGATCCTTTAATTATATTGGTGGGTTACAGCTTATTTGCGCGAGTTCTTTCTGTGTATGTTTGGATATAAGTCGAAAATTGTTACTCCGACGTCGGGAGTTCCTCAGGGTAGCCACCTAGGTCCTCTATTCTTCCTAATCTATATTAACGATATCGCTCAATGTTTCAGCCACTGTCAATTCCTTCTTTACGCAGACGATTTAAAGATGTACCGTATACTTGAGCAACTTCAGGACTGCACCAAAATACAATGCGATATCATCAGACTCAATGATTATTGTCAGAAACAACAAAAAAAGGATCGTATTACAGTATGTGTATCAGATAGATGATGTTAATATTAATTCGGTGAGCACTATACGGGACCTGGGTGTTACACTTGATACGAAATGGAGCTTTAATAACCAGATAGATAAAACCATTAACAAAACTAATAAGATGCTTGGCTTTATTAGGAGATACTCTGGATACTTGAATAACCCTGCTACCCTGGTATCACTATATTATGCGTTTGTACATAGCAAGCTCTCATTTGAGTCTATTACTTGGAATCCACACTACGAAGTCCATATAAGAAGGATTGAGTCTGTCTAACATATGTTTCTACGGGTTTTGGTGTATAAGGCGAATATCAATATACATAATCATGATTATAGCTTGGTAATGGAACGTTTTAAAATCTTACGTCTGTTTAAGAGAAGGGTATCTGACTTGTGCTTTATTCACCGAATCTTAAACAATCAAATTGATTGTTTTTACGTTGTGTCTAAAATCAATATATATGTACCGCCAGGGCTAAACCAGAGGCACTGTACGTACTTCAATGTCCGGTTTTGCAGAACAAATGTTGGATTATACTCTCCTCTAATACGAATGCAAAGAAGTCCCAATACCTATGGTGCATTTCCTGATGTTTTTGTTTGCCAATTCTTGAACTTTAAAAACCATTTAAGAACAGGTTGTTGGCTACTCCCTTGTAAACGACGCTACTGCTCTTTAACTTTCTTCTTTGTATCATTATTGCTAAATTGTTTCACATGCATTTATATCGTTTTATAACAGTGTTTGTGACTTGATATTTTTTGTAAGCTATGTTGTGGATGTCTTTTTTGAAGTATTTCTCTGTTTGACATCCCGAAATTCTTAAATAAATAAATAGTTTTGACACGAGGCTTTGCATGCAGCTTCTTGCCGTTTCATCCCTAATATTACCGTTTTCCCATATATGTGTATTTGGAACTCCGTTTTCTTTTCGGGCCATCTGCACAACAGAAGCTATTGGCATGATGAGAGGTAACCCAAAAATATTCAAGGGTTAGATGCAATCTATGTACCATGCATGAACAAGTAGCACAATCCCGTCACCACTTTAACAATAATAATGGTGGGTGTGTAGAAAGGAAATTTGAGTAGATAAAAATAATTTCTAAGTTGTGAATTACTAACAAGGCCTGAAAAAGTCTGAGCAAACGGGATCTTGTTTCTTAATTCAATAAAACAAGGACCTGTCTGCGTATGGCAACCCTTAGCAGCGGGAAACAAACACCTTACCGTCGCCTTATCCCTTCTCCCAGGAGTAATTAATCTCATGAACGTTATCCCCGTACACCAGCTCTGACAGCATCGCTGTCTCCTCTGCTCCACCGTGAACGGGTTGTCGAAATCCCTTTATGCATCCTCACATTCCACCCTCTCAGAGCTGTTGCTCTTCTCGTTGTTACATTAATAATACCCCCCAGAATTTAACCCCACACCCCGTACGTTTATCATACGCCTCTTGATCAATCACCTTCTGAAGATTGAGGTGAAAGCATTATCCTGATGAAGAAGTATGCTGCCTGTTGACTTCCGCAACAATGCTCGTCAAAAGCATCTGGCAATTTTCAGACCAAATTTGCATAATGATTCCCTGTAATTCTGTCCGTGTTTGGTTTGTTCGTACACTGGTCGGTACACCCAGAACTGGACGATACGACCACTCCTTTGTCTCTAGGGTATCATGGAACAATCTACATGAGGAGCTTTTCCCACGACCACTTACATTAGGCAGTCCAAAAATAGGAATAATAAAATTTGTTTTAGCTCCTCATAGCAGCCGCGGTGCTCTGGCTTGTAGGCTTCACCTGCGCGGCTGCTTCGGTGTAAAAAACTGAGCGACATACCGAGAAGGTGAAGAACTTGAAGATGTACTGAAAGAGAGAATGAAACCCAAAAGTCTGAATTTTGTGGACAAGACAGTGTTACAAATCAACAGCAACGAGTTTTTGTAACATTTTTGGATGAACAAGTGACAGAAGACATTTTAGTGAAATTCCGTGGTAGTGACCATTTTAAATGTCAGGCAGTGAGTCATGGATCAAAGTGCTTAGTGCTCAATATTTTGTTTATTGACCCTGTAATGGCAAAATGCAATCTCTAGATCTAGTGTGAAAAATCAGAACCATAGGAGACAAAACCTTCAAAAACCATAATTAATACGATCTCTATTTCAAATTTTTTTATTACTGTTACAAAATGCGAAATTACCCGATTTGAGTCTTACTTTGTTCCTACCTCAAGGGTAAAAACGTGTCTTGACTTATGATTTTTCCCTTGATGACTTTATGTACGAGCCCCTTCCCACTTCAGTTGGCCCACTTCGAGATTTGTATCAACATATGCCTTTATAAACTAAACATGACGAAACTATTACTTCTAAAACAATTTATTTTCTCAAAAACATTTTAGTTACACTCTAGTCGTAAAAAATACATATTTGAAATCACTTAGGCCTATAACTAATAGAACATCTGAACAAATAAACAATGCGCGAAGCTAACAAAGCAACAATTGAAGGATTACCATTGTGTAACATCATCTTTATTTTTTATTACGGCTGAAATTCTTTGGGGCATAGTATTAACCAAGTTTTGGCAAAAATTTGGTGTAAAACAATCCCATATTTCTTGGAGCTTTTGTCCCAGTTCGGTGATTGTACGAGCAGGATGTTGTCGTAAAACCTTTTTCATCTCTTGCCACAAAGTTTCAATAGGTGACAGATCTGGACTGCTAGAAACCCATTTCAAAAGTGGTACATTATTTTATTCCATCCATTTTATAGCCTTTTTTGAGATATGGCACGCTGAAACACAAAATCTTGGCCGGATGTCAAACATTCTTCCATCACTGGTAAAAGCGATTCTTCTAAAATTGCCAGATATTTGTTTGTCTCCACATTTTCATCAATAAAATGAAGTTTTCCTACTCCTTTTGATGACATACTGCCCCAGACCATAATGGATGCTGTAAATTTCACTTTTCTCTTCAGACTGTCAACATGGAATGCTTCATTTTTTTGCGAATAACTCTACTGCGACTATCACCAACACAAACTTCGAATCGGGCCTCATCACTCCATTGTATTGCACACCATTGTTGAGGTGTTCATTGTCTATGTTCTTTAGCACATCTAAGCGGATTTTTATTTTGCAGTGGAGTTAATAGTGGCTTTTCTTTGGCCTATAAACAAGTTGTGCAACTTTAGGGTTTTTACTTCACTTTTTTTTATAAGAAAACTTACCTTGCAAGTGCTAAGTCCCAGTTTGTGGGCCTCTCTATGAGTTGTGGACCTCGAAATTCTCCCTCCAACAGCGTTACTCCACAGAGCACTTAATTGTAAATAATTGGCACGCCTGTTTTTCACGATTATACTTCTTAATGCTCTTCGGTCGGCATTTGTGATATTACTTTGTTTCACATATCGTGGCTTAACATTAACTGAACCAGTTACGTTATATCTTCTAACAATATTTCTCACACTGTACTGCGATAAGTCTAACAAAGTTGCAATTTCTGAGTTTGGTTTTCCAGAATTAAAAAAATTAATTATCCATAACCGAATTTTCTCACTAGTAACCTTTCTTTTACCCATTTTGAAAACCTTAACTACCCAAAACTATTTTAAACGTATTCTGACAGCTGTGATTAATAAAACCAATTGTCATGGCTTTTATTTTTCACAGCCGCCTATGCGTTATAGACTTATTTTGCATTGAAATGAAAATAGGTTGATATGCTGTAATTGCAACATGTGTTATTTTTATGCTGCAAGTTTGATTAGGTAGTGATAAATTTGGTGTTTTCTACTATATATTATCAAAATATTCATTGTTAATATTTTAAACCTATAAAACCCTGCTACATTTTTATTATTTGTGTTTGATAAAAAAAAAAACTAAGATTTCAATAGTTGGGCCAACTGAAGTGGGAAGGGGCTCGTATTCTCGAAGTCACAGTTCTTCCTGTCCATGTTGGAAACTCTGTGAAACTCATAGTTACCTAAGCAGATCTTGGTAACTGTAGTTATGTTCAGCCGTTTTAGCTTCTTAGCGTATAGCACCCTTGGTATTTAAAGACGTTATTAAATCCTTGTAGTATGTTTACTTATTTCTTCTAGTGAGAGCTTGCATATATATTAAAAATATTATTTACACCCCAGCATCATTGTTATACAAGCGGACCCAGCTGTATTCAACAATATATATGACTTTGAGGTTGAGTCATTAATTTTCAGATAATGATTGTAGAAGGAAGATAAACCAAAATATGTGTGTAAAAATAAAAAAAAATTAAAAAAAAATTTTACCTTGTTTTATAAAGTATCCTCCCGACAAGTATTTCAGTGCGGACCTGTATTTGATCGTGAGGACTTGGAGCACCGGCATGCCGTCCATATGTGAGGTCTTAAGTCACCTGATTCACGAACCCGTTGTACTACATTAACAAAGGCACGAGGGGTTGGTTGCACTCGATTGGGAAACCGATCCGCATAAACATGTGCCATTTTTTATTTCGTTTGAGCCACGCAACAGTTACACCACTATTCACTACCGACTGACACTGTATACGTATACAACTGAATGAAATAATTGTAAAAACATCGTTCCAAATTCTTTCGCTTTTTTGTTTCCGATGCGATGAACCGATAAGGCGGATTATATCCGTTGTCGCCAAACACGAGCACATAATATTAGTATTGAGACAGGGCGGTACTCAAACTTCCAAAGGGCTATAACTTTGTTACTTTAATTTTACCAGAAAAATGGTAAAGGAAAAAAACATTTCTTTTGATCAGATCTACTCACTGTTAAAATAAATGACTCAACTTCGAAGTCACCCTGTATATATATATATATATATATATATTTGCCGCATGAGAAATTTAGTACAATATACGGAAATGCTAAAGTTTGACAACCTAGGCCTATTCACGAGACTGCTCACACGTTTGGGGTGCTGCCGCCCCGACTACATTATCCATGCTCGGTGCTGTCCAGAGCAGGGCGGTCCGACTGATCGATGACTCTTCTATAACAGACAACCTAGGGACTCTTTAGCACCGGCGGGCCGTCGCTGATCTGGCTCTTTTCTATCGCTACACCAACGGGTTTTGCTCCTCAGAGCTCTCTTCCACGATGCCGCCGCGCGATGTGCCTGTCAGACAGAACCGCCTGACTTTGGCGTCCCACCCTAACCGTGTCGAACTTCGTACATCCAGTACTGGCCGATACGACCGCTCCTTTGTCCCGAGGGTATCGCGATTGTGGAACAATCTACAAGAGGAAGCTTTTCGCAGTTCTACTAACCTTAGCCAGTTCAAAAATCGTATCAAAATTTCTTTGGGATCATCATAGCAGCCGCGGTGTTCCGGCATTTAGGCTTCCGCCTGTGCGACTGCTTCGATATAAAAAAACCTGGCAGTGCGGCATTTTCAGATATAGGCGGCCACTCCCTCACCGTGGGCACCCGTGAAAAAAAGCATGTATCACAAAATGTGCAGAATTCGATATTTTGTTTTTTTTTCGATCAGCTTTGGAATGGACTTTGCTAGAATATTACGAGGGATGTCTTTTAAGATTTGTATATAGAAACATAGTAGGCCGCGCGGATCGAACGTCAGTACTGAATCTTAACCTCACTCTTTAGTAAACTTTAATTCAAAGTTTCACAACAATATGTGCAGTGTTCTCAATACAGTGAATTTCCAAGTGTCACCAAGTCATTAGAAAAATGGAACTCAACCGAGAACATTTTCGCTCCATAATTTATTACAACTTACAGAGACAATTATCGCAACAAGAATGCCCTGCTGAGTTACTGTCTGTTTTTGGCAACGAAGCGCCACATCAGTCGCCAATTTCCCATTGGTATGAAGAACTCAAACGTGGACGGGTGATTGAAGATAGACATGTGACATATCGCGAGATTGAAGCGTCCTTGAAGATCTCAAAGAACTCAATTCAAAAAATTTTACATGAAGAATTAGGAGTAAGAAAATTAGTTTCTCGTTGGATACCCCACCTGTTGACTGAAGAGCAGAAAGCAGCCAGGGTTAGTTGGTGTCAAAAAACGCTTGACCGTTTCAATTCGGGAAACTCAAAAAATGTGTACAGCATTGTTAGTAGTGATGAATCGTGGATTTACTGTTATGAACCAGAAAATAAACGACAGTCGGCTGTTTGGGTGTTCCAAGGTGAAGAAAAGCCAACAAAAGTCATCCGTTCTCGAAGTGTTTCGAAAAAGATGATCGCGACATTTGTGTCAAAAGCGGGTCATATTGCAACAATTCCTCTTAATGAGCAAAGAACTGTTACTGCGGATTGGTATACCACCATTTGTTTGCGAAAAGTCATCACCGAGCTTCGAAAAATCAACCCCGAAAGAAGAATCATCCTCCACCAAGACAATGCAAGCTCGCACACAGCCCAAAGAACAAGGTAGTATTTAACGGAAGAAAACGTGGAATTATTGAACCATCCCCCATATAGTCCCGATCTAAGTCGTAACGATTTCAGACTGCGTGGTCAAAGGTTCCAGTCACCAGAAGAAGCAGTTGACCCCATTCAAAAATGCCGTTTTGGATCTGCCAGCAAACGAGTGGAATAAGTGCTTCGAAAATTGGTTCGAGCGCGTGCAGATGCGTATTAATCTTCGTGGAGAATACTTCGAAAAACAATAAAGTCATTTAAAACTACCAACCGTGTTGTTTTATTTCCATATTCAAAACTTAAAAGACATCCCTGGTAATACTAGTTGTGCATGCAGTTCGAGGGTGGGCGACAAGCGCACAGGGAACAAAAATCCTACTATCAGAGTTTTATTAAAAGTCATTCACAACACTTTGTTCATCTCAGAATTCTTATTATTTGCTTCTTCAACTTATCATTCTTTATCATATACTTTTTAAATGAGAATTGAATGGGAATTACTGAGTAAATCTATTTGACTTTTGTAGGTCCTCTTATTTTTTATCTGTTTTATTAGCTGAAATTTCCTACGACTTGAAAAGAAAACATGGCTTCACAATAGGGGAGCGCTGACGCTGGAAGAGTAGAAATCCAGAAATACCCCAACCTTTCTGAAGGAATGAGAATCCTATGAAAATCAAGAAAGAAATGCCATAAAGGCGTCCCACAATTGTAGGAGGGACTGACGATACGGCGCCTAGTCTTTGTTAATTGACAACTATAACTAGACCTTATTTTTTTTATACTCCAACTACCACGAAGACCTAAGGCCTACACACCCATGGGTACCGTGGTGCTGTAGGGGGAAACAGGGGAAAGGGGGAGATTGATTTAACTGCTATTATTAAGCTTTCAATGCAGAGAGTGACCAACACAAGTACAACTTGCATAGATAATATTTTGACAAATTTAAAAGAGTCTGAATATACAGTTTCTGTAAAAGGTCCCTGTCTCTCAGACCACTATGCCCAAAGTATGCTTGTACATTTAAATTCTATTAAAAAAGAAAATATTGTTCATACTGGGAAAATCACAAACGCTAGCCTAAATCATTTAAATCTCTCGTTATCCAACATAGATTGGACAACATATTATGTCAATCATGATGTGATTAGTCTCTCTTCTTTTCTCGTAGAATCAATAAGTGAACTTAAAGATTTATATGTTCCATTACAAAAGCAAAAGCAAGATTTCCAGAGACAGCCAGTAAAATGGTTTAATAGTGAACTTAAGACTGCTAGGTCCTCTCTTCAGGTTCTAAAAACAATATCGGAGCATCAAAAAGACGAACAGTAAAAAAATGCCTTTAAAACATTTCAGAGACAATACAGACAAAAAATTAGACATGCTATATATAGTGCATATAATAATTTTATTCATTCATCGGAAAATAAAAGTAGGGACTGTTGGAGGCTAGTAAATTTTGAAGGAAATAAATCCAAACCAATGACAATTAACTGATATCACAACAGACATGTTTAACGATCCGCAGCCAAAAATATAATAAAAAGCTTAACCTAATCTTAATATTAATGAGCTAACTACCATAAATTTTAATAAGTGTAATAAAACCTTTTTTTCTGGAGCCTGTTACATATCTAGATGCTTTGAATGCTATTGGTGAATTAAAAAATAAGCAATCTCTTGATATTTATGACCTAAACAGCAAAGTAATAAAACTCTGTGCAAATACTCTTGCCACACCACTTACTCATTTATATAACTCCTGTCTTTCTCAGGGAATATTCCCTGATGTTTTTCAGATTAGTAAGGTAGAACCAGTGTTTTCTAAAAAGGTGACCTGGCACCGCCTTTTAAAATTTTTAGAAACAAATAACATCATTAATCCAAAACAATTTGGTTTTCAGCCAGGTCTGTCAACCATAAATGCACTAGCGGAACTTATTGACCACATAGTCCAGGGCTTTGAAGGGGGAAGAAGTGTACAAATTACCCTTTGTGACCTTAGCAAGGCCTTTGACTGTGTGGATCATGAGAAGCTGCTGTGTAAAATGGAGCATTATTATGGTTTTCGTGGGGTGTCTCTGTGCTTTTTTAGATCATATCTGACTGGAAGATCTCAGCTTGTTAGTAGTAATAATAAACATTCAGAAATTAAAGGTGTAAAGTATGGTGTCCCTCAGGGATCCATACTTGGACCCATACTTTTTTCCCTTTACATTAATGATCTTTATTACTACTTATTACCAGATATTTGTGTATGGTACGCAGATGACACCACCCTTATAAAGAGTCACAAAAACCTTCATATATTACAAAGCTTATCTAAACAGCTTGAAGAAAAGGCAAACAACTGGTTTAAACAGAATAGCGTATGCCTAAACTCAGACAAAACCAGCAGGCTAGTAGTACCTAGTAACTCTTCTCTCGCAGAAAACAAATGTGTAAAATTGCTTGGCATAACAATTGATAGCTCACTAAAATGGACAAAGCACATTGAAACCCTATGTAGCAAATTAGCCACAAACATATTCTTACTACGCAGACTAAAAGCTTAGTAATGAATGCCTTGTTAGTGTTTATTGCTCCCTCATCGTCTCTCACATCCAATATGGCTTATTAGTCTGGAGAAATTCTACCCATATAAATAGAGTCTTTATATTACAGAAAAAAGCAATTAGAATTCTTGCGGGAGCTGGTTATCGTGACCACTGTAGGCCACTCTTTATAAAATTAAATATGCTTACAATTTATTCAATGTACATCTATCAGAGCCTTGTTGAGATTCCTAAGAACAAGCATATATTCTCAATGCACTGGGATGTTCATGGATATAACACCAGGCATTCCAATCTAGTTCAACAGGCTAAAGATTTCAGATAAAAACTCACTTGATGTTAGGGTATATAACAGGCTAAAAAACACTACTAAGAATCTTACTTTAAAACATTTTAAAAATACACTTTGGCAAGAATTAGTTAAACATCCTTTTTATTCCTTGAATGAGTTTATCGCGACCCCCCTATGTGTGTGATCTGGCCTACTACACCTTTTATATTATATTTTATTTTATTTTTACCAATTATACTTTTATATGTATTGCATACGTCATCAGTAGTTTTCAAGAAGCTATTTTTATGTGTTATGCATACCAACAATTTTTATGACAAGTGTAAAAACAAATGTTTTGTTAATTGGCACGTAATATATATTCTCTTCTATTCTAATGCAAGAGCTCGGCGTGACAATAACGTAAGAAAGTTCAGAAAACCAATATTACTTCGCGTATCAGCCATCTCACCTCCCGTTCTAAATGGGAAGGCTTATGAAAGTCATATTGACTTCAGAGTCTTCCTATGTCATATAATATTCCACGCGTTATCTCAAAGTAACACTATTAATAGGGAAGGGTGCATTATACTCAGATTACTAAATCAATTAACTCCTTCGGTACAATATGGTAATTTCTTAGACATCGTTATTCGGGCGCCGCCGCAGAGCTTGTCAAGGCGATATTAAAGTTACCCGCACGAGTTATCCGCACAATGCTGTGTGATATCATTATCTAAGTAGCACCGGAATGTATTTAAGACAAAGTGCAGTTTGACAGTTGAAGATACATTGGTAGGGGTATTATACAGGGAAAAAAGTGTGCAATATTCTACCAGCGCTTTCTAGAGCTTAAAATAGAAAGAAAAGTTTATATAAACATAGGTCGACAAACGTACCCTAAGGGCAGTCTTTCAAAGGGGCTCCCCTGAAGATGGTTTTTCCTTAATATTTCCGAAACGTGTGGAGACAAAGACATAAAATTTTGTATCCTAGCCTAGTTTTTTATGCTGGATTTAAAAATATTAACAATTTTAGACAGTTTTGTTTGGAAGCGTATGTAACAGGGACGGACTCAGGTTATTTTAGCCCCAAAATTTTTGTCTGAATCTATTTTTGAAACTCAATTTTAGAATTTGAAAATTTAGGGTTTTCTACATAAAAAGGTAATCTTATTGAATATCGATAAATTGTGCCATTTTTGAATAAAATCAAACTAAAAAGTTTGTCATATGATAGGAAATGTACTGCGAATTTAAATGAATTGTTGTTTATACATAGTTAGCCATGACTGCAAGCAAAAGTTGTTTTGATTTGTTATGACTTATCTTGACGTTAAGCTGACATTCTTAGCAGTGTAAAATTACTAGATTAAAATCAAAAATTTTATTAAATCGATTTAAAATGCCAAGATTTACAGACAGAGAACTGACTGACATCCATTTTGTGTACGGGTTTTGCAATGGCAGTTCATTAGTAGCCGTAAGAGAATATCACATAGTACCTGGAGATCGAATCTTTACTGATATTCACCGGAATTTGTCAAACCATGGAAGTTTTCAGCGCATGCAGGGCTCAAGAAGACCACTGGGATATTGCTTTAAATATGTTTGAAAATAATCCACAAATAAGCATACGAAATGTTTCAGAAATTATGGATATACCTTGATCGACAGTAAGAAAAATTTATTTATCCTAAAAATAATAATTTTTGATAGGGAGAATGAGAAGAATGGAAGGATTACATCCGTATCATTTTAAACGGTTGTAGCATTTAACGGAAGGAGATTTTTTACCACGAATTGAGTTTTACCAGTGGATATTAGCAAATGAAAACACTATTCCTAGAATATTATGGTCGGATGAGTCAATATTTACTAGGAATTATGCTTTTAGTTTCCATACCATGCATCACTGGTCAGACGAAAATCCAATAGTTGTTCGCCGTACAAATTTCCAACATAGATTTGCATTGAACTTATGGGCAGGAGTAATTGGGGATCAAGTAATTGGGCCTACTGTACTTCCCAATCGTCTTAATTCAAAGGTGTATCTGAACCTTCTTTAGAATGAGCTCATGGATATAATACCATTGGATGTGCGCCAGCAGTTTCAAGAAAATATGTTTTTCCAACATGATGGCGCCCCTGCACATGTTGGACGCAATGTTCGAAATTGGTTGAAAGTCAATTTTTCAGACAGGTGGTTAGGCTGAGGAGGTCCTATAGCGTGGCAGCTACGTTCACCTGACCTAAATCCATTGAATTTCTATTTTTAGGGGCATTAAAAGACCTAGTTTA